TATTCATATCAATTCCACAACCTCTCTCTTCTACCTATAGGCTCTAGGCTGCCGTGCGTATTGCCAAGATTCCCATGGGCAGTTGCAGCAAATATAAAATATGATATGGCTTACATTATTTTTCTATTGCTGTTTATAGGATCAAATACGAGTATACTCCCTTTTCAGTTCAAAGGGTTCCGCTGTCCTCTGAAAGGATGCATGAAACAAATCATTTTACAAAAAGTCCTGTGATTTGTGGTACAGTTTATAAAGCAACATTCAACTACAGGATCTTATGGGATAATGATAAACCTATACAAGTCTAAATCAGTAACAAAAGCATTGGTACACACCCTAAAAAATAAAGATACTGTGAAGATGATTTTAAAAATAAAACGCGTTCACCTCGCATACAGGATATTCCTATGGCAGATGTTTTGCCTTCACTGCAACTGTATATAGGCATGTTCTTTCCACTACCTAGTCTGTGATTACAAACTGGAATATGATCTAGTACACTTAAGGCATGATGGAAATTCAAGAACTGTGTCAAATAAAAGGGCAAGGTTGAAATATTGATAACCTTTCAACATCACAGACCAAGCTAGAAAGCAGGAAGAAAATAATGGCTCCTCAGCTATCAAAATTTCTCACTAAAATTAAAAAAATGAAAAATTCTTGTAACTTTGGAACAAGTCAATCTGCTGAAATGTCCTCCCTGGATGTGAAAACCCCCTGTTGAACTAGACTGGATTACACTATGAGGTGGGACAATCCTGCACTCAAAAATCCCCCACTGGAAAAAAAAAAATCAAATCCATTCTTCATTGAGCACTGTGCCTGAAGGAACTTGTAAATCTTAAAACAGTAAAACAATTGTAATCTTTGGCAAGACAGGCTCACAAGGTTCCCTAGTAGTTCTAGTCCATCCAGGAGAGCACAGTGTTTAGTTAACAACTATATGCACAATTTAAGTAACATGGAAGCTGCTCAGTCTTCTGAACAGCTTTCTAAACAGCTAAAATCAAATAAGAGAATCTATTTTTTAAGTCTTATCAATTGATGTACTTTTTTTTTTTTTTTTTTTAGTTTCATGAGGTTAAAAAAAAAAAAAAGATGAAGAAAGCCTAAGGAGAGTATGTATTTCCATGAGAGAGATGTTAATAGTTTAGCTAACCTGAAAAACTGAAGAGAGGGAGGTGTATAGGATAACCAGTGCTACATGAGAGTCCATCCAGGAAATCTCAGTCCTTCCCATTGAAAAACTTCAAGTAGATTCAACTGAGCTACAAGGTAAAAGATTTTATTCAGACAAAAGGAACGATATTTTTAAAAACACTAACTTTATTGTGTCACTAATTCAATTAATTTAAATTCAGAATTTCCACTCAAATAATTTAGAAAAATTAATGCTGGCAAGAAGCTCATCTAAATTATCGTTTACAATGGAACCTTCATTCTTAGCAAGTGTCACCAAGAGCAGAACATCAAGATAAGAGGAAAGATATTTAAGGCTTTTTAACAACCTCTGATGTTGATCTGTTGTGTTAACTTTGGAAAGGCATTCTACACCTTTGTGGTCCTCTTCTTAAAACCCATCTGGTTTGTTTAGATTAATAGGAAAATTGTAGTTTACTTTGTAGCAAGGAGAGTATGTGCCTTGGCATTAATGCCTGATACCTGGCTCTACACAACTTCAATCTACCTCACTTGGAAACTGTAAAAGCAGTTCTACCAATAAAGATACAATTGATAGGTCATAAACTGTTGAGAGAGGAGTCTAAAAAAACAATTGCTTTATTCTGTCTATGTTTTTTTGGTCTTTTTGATACTTCCCACTCTTTTTGTGTGTCTCACCCCATACCTTCAACCCCCTCCATGTCATTCTCAGAGCCAGCAAGACAGCATGGCTGCTTTGAATCTTAGCCTTTCATTGCTGTGGTGGTTGAAAATCGCTTCCTACCCTACATTGCTCAAAATGAACTAGGTGTATGTCACACTAATAAAACATGGCGTTTAAAACAAACAAAGACCTCTAACTTGTGCATTACAAAAAAAAAAACAAGCTGATGTGACTGTGCCTTTGTATTGTGAGGTCTGTCTCCTATGAGCAGGACTACTGATCATTTACCTTTGCTACCATGTTAATGTCATAGCAGTGGGTGGGCAACATCAAAGGGAAATGGCATTTCAAATAAAAACAATTTTGTAATTCAATCATATTTGTCTGACCATTTCCTGCAGTTAAATTTTCTAGATTTAAATAACTGTCAACAATCAATAACTATTTTCATAAACATTACTATGACTTCTCTTGTTTTGATCTCTTGCTAAAATGCATCTATTCATTAACAAAAATCTACTGCTTAAATAAGGCCAGGCACAGATACGCTAATCTGACTGAATCTTTAGGATAACATATCACTGAACGTTCTTGCCAGATACACTTGCTGTGCTCTTTCTTAGCATTTTCAGGAAACCCTTCATGGACAGATATTGCAGTAGCAGTTGACCACAGATCCAACATACCTAATCCCAGGATTAATTTTGTATGCTCATCAGTGGTGAAGCAAGATGGATTTAATAGCCCATTAGTCTTTCAGCATGATAATTTTCATGTCACTTAGCCTGCTAGGTTAATTGCTTTAAAATGGATATTATTGACCTCAATCCTAGTGACAAACGGAGAAAGTCTTATTCATCTCTCAAATGTACATTCTTAGACTCTTGTTTCTTTTGGTCCTGACAATAAATCCCCTAGATCATGTACTTGTACATTATAATTTATACCCTATTAGCCCATATTTAAGGTCTTACTGAAGCAGTATCTTTCTGACATGACTGGGTTAACTTTTAAATTCTGTTTTTTTATGTAAAGAGAAATGTTGCAAGCATAAGAAATCATTGTTTTACTTCTTGTTAAGAAATTAATTTTAATGCTAAAAGCTGTAGCAGGTGGCAGCTGGGGTTAAGCACTTTTGGAATAAACAGCTGGCCAGTATATTTCCAACCACAAAAGACTGGTCATTAGGAGGAGGGAATGAAGAACAAATTTGGACAGAGCGGCTGTAGGAAAGGAAATTCAGATCATAGGGTAGAGAAACAGAAAAAAAAAATATCAGGAAAAAGAAAACCAAAGAGTAAAAGTGAAGAGTATTTTTTATTCACATGTATTATTTGAGGATTTTTTCCCCTTAGTAATTTAGAGAAAACACAAGCCGTCTGCTTTGAGGAAATCAGTGCTAGGTGTGAGCAGCAAAAAATGGAAAAATAGGGAGTGGAAAAGCTGAACAAGTTACATTATCGCTTTCAGGGAGGTGAAACAGGGCTGGAAGTTAATGTAGCCAGTTTTCAGTCCTATATATGTCAACAGTGTAACACATACATTTATACATAGGTAGCTGTATTTCTCAAACAACTGGTTCCTATGGGAAGCAAGATGGTACTATGTAGATGCTGGATTGTTGGAAACCAAGATTTGGAGCAGATGTGCTCACAGTCTCTAGAAGAACCCAAATCCCACAGATCTTACAGATATTTGCAAAAAGATGTATCCTCACAACTCTGAAGTTTCATTATGTAGGTTCCTGAGCTAAATCAGCTTTATAAGATATAGAATGGAGAGGTCTCATATTTTTAAAAAGCGATTTCTAAACCAAATTAATGTCAATAAAGCCACTAACATAAGCCAGCCTTGGTGCTGACCATGAATAACATCAGAACTGTTTCTTCATAAAACAAACTAGAGCCTGATCTACGTGTAACGTGAAATACATAAGACTCATACAGAACGCTGTGGTTGATTTAAACAGTACTAGGATCTTCACTGGGAGCGCAGTTCCACCTCTTAACGACAATGACAGCTTCAATGACAACGGTATCATTTTTATTAACAACTGTTCCTATGTGATATTCATGTAAGTACATTCTCGACACAAGTAGTTGAAGTTGGACATTCCCACCTCAGTTACAAAGCACCTTTGACTCTCACTGAAACAAAAACCAACCATATGTAGCAGATGTTGTGGCCAATCATTGCTCTCTAAAGTATTTTCCAGGAAAAAAAACCTTGTTTTTTAACCTTTAAACTTTTTTTTTTCTTAAATTTAGGTCATCTACTTGAGGTCATTTAGGTCATGGGCACACATCCAATGTTAGCATGTTTTGTAGAAGGCAAAAATCTGAAACCTTCTGAATAACAAGAACATCAGCATTTGAGAGAAAAGTGAAAAATTAGAGGAAGGCTTGAGAATTTGGTCCTTGTAAGACTAGAAATATTTCATGTTTACTTTTAAGAATGCTATTTAAGCATTTGTGATGATTTAATGATTTGGTGATGTTTATTTTTCACTATGAACAGCTCCTGCCTTCCATATTAGAAAAATTTGAGATCAGTGTATTATACTCTGGGTTTAAGACTTAGGACTGGTTGATCAGCTCATGAAAATCAGCACATCCAGAGAAATCAGAGGAGGAATGCCAAATTACTGATGCTGAACACCTAGTCCTAGATTTTTTTAAACTAAAACTATGAGGAAAATACAGCGGATCAGATCTTGCTCCTGCAAAAGCTAGTGCTAACATACATACTGACGTCAGAAGTGCAAAACTTGACCCTAAACACACAGCAGTGGGAATAATTTACCCTTAAAAGATTTTAATCACACACAGTGTTACCAGGAAGTTTTGCAAATTGAGTCACCAAATTATAAAGTACATTGATTTTTTTTTTTTTTTTTAAGTATTTTGCACTCTGTGGAAAAATATTCCTTTAGGCATATTTGTAAAGAACAAACGCGTATTTTGTAGATCAGCGACAGATTTGAGTTCAAGCCGGAGCCACGAGTTTCTCAAGGATATCAGCAGATATACATGACTGCTGTTTTGTTTCCTTTGATGAGGAAAGTGTCCAGTCGGGCACCGACAGCCAAATTCCCAAGGGCAAAATGAGCACTTTCCCTCTCCGCAACACCAAAAAAAAAAAAAAAAAGATAGACTCCTGACAATGTTCTCCTGACAACCCCCGCTGCTTTGTGGCCGTTCTCACCGAGCCCCGGCGAGGCACCGCAGCCGGCGGGGAGCCCCGGGCAGCCCTCGCTGGAGAGCGCTCCCCGCTTCGCACGACCCCCCGTGACTGAATGTTCAGACTTTGGGGAGGCGAGGGCAGTTTGGGGGGGGCGAGGTGAGCGTTTGTTGTGTTATGGCTCAGGCTTCCCCCCGCCGCCGCCAGCCGGCCCGAGCCCGCCCTCACGGCGTGGGGCTGAGGGGCGTGAGGAGACCGGCGGCCGCCGCCCCCAACGGCCGCGCCTCGCGCGCACCCCGGGGGCGCCGCTGGAGGGGCGACCCTCTCCTCCCTGAGGAAAAGCGAACCGAACATTGCGATGAACTTTTTCCGTTCGGATTCTCCACAGGACTCCGTGTGCGTGTGTCCCCTCCCTCGCTGTTCTCTCCGGCTCCTCGGGGAAAGCCCCCCACCCCGTCGGGTCACGCCAGGTGACACGGCCCCGCCGCAGGCGCCTTCCCGGGGCCGGGGGTCGCGGCGCGGGGGGAGTGCGTCCTCCCGCGCGAGAGGGGGCGCTGCCGGCGGCGAGCGCGTTCGGCTCCGCCGCTCCGCCATCTCCTCTGATCTCATAAAGGTGTCGCGCAGGTTCCGCCCGGGCTCGTCATTCAGCCGCCCCGGGCCTGGCGCCGCCGCCGCCCGCCCTCTCTCGCGGTGCTATCGGCCGGCGTCAAGCGGTGACCGCGCTCCCGCCCCGGCTTCTCGGCGGGCGCCGGTTCCCCTCCCCGCCACTTCCTCCCCCGCCCCCCTTCCCCCGCCCCGGCCCCCTCTCTCGCCGGCCGGGCCCCGGAGCGCCGCCGCCGCCGGGGTGTGAGCGGGGCCCGGCGCCGTGCCGGCCCGTCCCCTCGCCGGCGGGGCCATGGCCGCGAGCGCCAAGCGGAAGCAGGAGGAGAAGCACCTGAAGCTGCTGCGGGAGATGAGCAGCCTCCCGCCCAACCGCAAGTGCTTCGACTGCGACCAGCGCGGCCCCACCTACACCGACATGACGGTGGGCAGCTTCGTGTGCACCTCCTGCTCCGGCATCCTGTGAGTGCGGGCGGCGGGGGAGAGGGAGGGCGGCCCCGGGGCCGGCGGGCTCACCGCCGCCCCTGCCCGGCCCCCTGGGCTCGCCGGGCCGGCGGCGGGGAAGCGAGCCGCGCCGCGGGGGGTAGCGCCGCGCCTTTGGGCTCGCTGCGCCGGCCGTTCCCCGCTCCTTGGGCTTCCCCTTCCTTCTCGCCGCACGGCAGCGGCGGGCTGCCGGGTCCGCCACGTCGGAGGGGAGCGAGCGGCGGGCTTTACCGGGGAGGGGGCGGCAGTCGGGAGGCTTCACTAAAAATCCCCGTCGGAGCCCCCGGTCCGGGCCATGGCGGTTGCTGCCCGGGGTGTGCGTGTGTGTGGGGGGGAGCTCCTCCATCCCCTGGCCGCGCCCGGAGGGGTGTTTTCCCGCACGTAGGGTATGTAAGCGCTTGCCTACGGCACGCACGTGAATGGGGGGAGCACCGCCACCCCCCCGGAAATCGTGGAAAGTCTAGGTAATTAAACAAGCGTTTGGAGAATACTTCTGGAAAGGGGAGGGGGCATATGGCTCAACAGTTCGTTTCGTGACAGTCCTGAAGATGTGGGGAGACTAACTCTACCGTGAATACTGAGTTTAGCGTTTAAAAATCGTACTTCGGTGTTAAATGAAATCACCAGTTTATCCTTTTGTGTATCAAATTACGCTTGATCGTAGTTTGTAAGGCAACTCTCTAAACTCTAGTTTAGAGGATAGACTCTAGCTTTAATAGTTTAATATACTTGATTGGAGAAGTAGTAGAAAGCGTTTTCTACAGTACATCTGTTACTTCCTACAAACTATATATATAAATCTTGGAAAGGGATTGGCTCTGTTAAAGTGGATTGCATTTTTCCTGTTCCTCATTCCTGCATGGGCCTCCCCACTACTTCTCCTCCCTTTTCCACCCTTCCTCGTCCGAGATGATGTGTATGAAACTAAAAGTTGAGATGAGTCAGTTCTGAATTTGTTACATATACATAACTGGGGGGGGTGGGGGGGGGGGGTGGGGGAGAAGGTCCTCCTGTCTTCAGTGCTACTCTTTCCATAGTTAAATGTTTGCTTGTTTATGTTTCTGTGGCATTGTGCTTATGGAATGGAGCAGAATCAAAGAGTGACCAAAGTGAGTAACAAATAGTATGTCAAAGGCTACAGATTTGTGTTCATAAGGGTTTGAGTTCATGAAAGGCTTTCAGAAGCCTGAACTAATTTCTTTCCCCTTACTAAGAGGGACTAAGTACCCCACACAGGCCTTCCGAGTAAGGTCTGGTGTTTTAAAACAAAGTTGATAATTACGTTGAGATTCAAAACAAAGCAAACGTGTTAGTTCTGTGCTGAATTTACATGGAACAACCTGCCTTTTATACTGCTAGACAGCTAATTAGTCTTTTTTTTTTTCCTTCTACTTTTTGTAGACTTTTGAACGGGCTTGACGCAAATACAGAAAACACATTCAGGTTGTGCAATTGAGAAGAGACTCTAGTTTTTGACATATACATGCTACTTAATCAGCCAGCTCTGGCTATTGTTTGCTCTGTTAGCAAACTGTTGTTTGTGCTGGCATGTGAAACTATTTTAAGCTACTGCACAGAGCTTATTTAATGGTTGCACATGTTTTTACTGGTTAAACTGACAGCATGATAAAACTGCTCCATGAGAACATCATGCTTTATTTTTCAGGCTTCTTAACCTTAATAGACAAATATATCAAGAGTGCTGCTGAGGTGTTTAGCATGGGTTCAGCAGGATTTGTTCCTTTTATCTGTTGGCCGGGAGGTACGGACTGCTAAAGTCCATAGTGCAATTTGCAGTAAGCAAAAGGATGTACATCCAGTGAAACAGCTAGTAAGCAGGGGACAGCTGTCACTTGCTGTTAAGTTGGCCATCATTGGGATGTTAGCATGCTTAAAAGAGGAAGACTTTTTCTGAAGAGAAGTTAGTAATGTATCGTATTATAATAAAATGCAAGTAGCTCTTTCATTCTAAATATGTAGTGTATTTGTGTTGCTATAAAAAAGAAACCACAAACAACACTTTTAGGTGTTACAGTTAGTAACACCTACACTTAAAGCTGGAGTAAAGGACTGTTAAGAGGATTTAAAGTTTTCTTCTGAAATAAATTTGGGCTCATTCTTTCATGGTGACTTGGAAATGCTTCCATAAATTGCGTGCAAGATCATATGTATTGGTTAACACCTTAGAACCTAGCCAGTGGGATATTTTTGTTACCGATGAGACTTAGTGTAGAGAGCGGTCATGTCTGTTTCATAACTGGAAACTGTTATTTTTAACACTTCTGTCAGAATAGTCCTTCATACAACTTGTTTATTTCCAAATGCTGTAGAGTTCCACAGTGAAGGGAAATGACTTGGAAAGAAACCACATAATGGCAAATAAGTGTAAACATACTGCTGCTTCTGTAGTTTTTAATGGCTGCCTGCATTCTACCCTATAACACTTGCTTTAATGTAAGGCTTTAATAATCTTATTACTCCATCTTGTTTGTATGCTATGTGAATGACTTGCATTGCTTCTTGTTTTAATTAATTTTTTTTCTAATCTGATACAGGAAGTATTCTTGGAGTCAAGTAGACCAGTTTTTTCAAGTATGAAGTGCCCAATGCAAGATTAAAATACTAGTACATTAACAAGTCTCCTTCAGAAAGGTTTCCCAATTAAAACTGGTTGCTAACATTGGTATCATCTTAGACAGGCATGTTGTTCTAGACAGAGTTTACTCTAAAGTTTTTAAATCTGAAGTCTAAATTGGGTTTTTTGTAAGTTTTCTGAAATGTTTATTCATTTTCTCTCCAAGGACAGTGTGTTCAAACCCAAAACCTTCTTTATGGATCCATCATTAATTTCCACTAGGGATTCTAGGTGTAGAATCAAGCAATGCTATTTATTACTAGATTTAGCTTTTAAAAAACTACCATTTTCTTAACTATTTCAAAAAATAGTATGTCTAGCTTGTTCAAGTACTGCTAAAAATAATGGGAGAACTAATGACTTTGCTGAAAAGATCTGTTTCTGACTTTAACATTGAAGGTGAGTTTTGTCAAGTTAAAACTATGAATAACAATAGAGGAGGTCCTTTTCCATAATACCTAGGTTTCAATTTTTCTCATCAGATTGGGTTTACCAGAGAAGTTCTGCTGTGCAAAATGGTACATGCAGGAGGAAGTTTATGGATAGGGGTGTGAACAGCGGCTTCCTCTTAAAATACCTCTGCTTGTTCCTTGTGTTTAAATTACCTTCATGTGGAAGAAGGCACACTAGCAGGCTGTGCCTAATTCAACTTTTTGGTGTTGGACAAGAACATGGGATATGTAAAAATATACACACAATCATTTCTTCCCTGAGAGTAGAAGGAGATGGTCTAGAGGAGCAGTCTTCTCAGGTCAAGGGTTACAGTAATACAAAACCAGAAGACTTTTCTTCATTATAACAAAACTATATTTGGGAAATGTTGGCAGAGAGATTCTTCTGGTTTAACAGAAGTCTTTTGGTTCAAAGGATTATGTTGGTAGCTGTGTCTGTTTGTGTTTCTGGATGCTACCACGTGTCCTGCTGACAGTGAAAACTTTCCCTTCATCTTATCAAATGCCTCTCTGCCTTGCTTTCCAGCTGTCTGTGTATATCTCTGCTTTCAAGCACTTCTGTACCACTCCTGGTCAGCCTGCTCCTAACTTTTATAAAAATAACACGTTCTTAAATTCTCAAGTGAAAAATATTCCCATTTGACTAAGAGTCTGCTTCCACAAGCTTTGTACTAGTTTTTATTTAAGTTTGACTTTTTAAAAAATATCTGCTGATGAGATAATTTGAACACTCCTACCCTTCCTCTCACTGCTGCCCTCTCTACTCCCTTCCATCTTACTGAGCAAGTCTCTCATTCAGCTGCTTGCACTTCTGGCTTGTGTTAGGAAGCACAGCAACAGAGAATGTTTAGAACGTATGGCGACTGTGGGGAATGCTAAAGCCCTTTTATTCTATTTCTTATAATTATTGAATCATGTGGCCTTATTTTGGCTGCTTATAATATTCATAGTTGAAATTTTAAATGTAAGTTTTCTGGGTGAGGGGCTTCTGTATCAGCCAGATTGAAATATTTGGTGACAAACACTAGTAACAAATTAAAAAATAAATCTTTGTGCAATGGTGATGAGTTATTGTTCCTTTCCCCAAAAGAAGTTTTGTAGAAATTAAAATAGTATAAATGAACAGCGTTAGAGTGAAGGTGATTATGGTTGTGTTGGCATGACTTTCTGGTCTTTTTTTTTTCCCCTTCAGAGCAGGCTTGGAAAAATGGCTCCATGTACTATATGTATGTGTATGTATTTACGTTTTTAAGGGTATTTCATATATTACTATATTTCTTGTTTTCAGGGTCATGGCTGGAGAGCAAAAGAAATGTCTATTCCACAGTGAATACTGTGCAGTTCAGAAAGGATGTTTTCTCTTAAGAAAAAAGTTAAATTAACCTTGACTGTGCTTCTACATCTGTGTGTGAGCCTTTTTTCTGTTAAAAATAAATGAG